GCTCTGACTGTGGTGTGTTCACTCTCTGCTCTGACTGTGGTGTGCTTACTCTGCTCTGACTGTGTAGTGTCCACTCTCTGCTCTGACTGTGGTGTGTTCACTCTCTGCTCTGACTGTGTAGTGTCCACTCTCTGCTCTGACTGTGGTGTGTTCACTCTCTGCTCTGACTGTGTAGTGTCCACTCTCTGCTCTGACTGTGTAGTGCTTACTCTGCTCTGACTGTGTAGTGCTTACTCTGCTCTGACTGTGTAGTGTTCACTCTCTACTCTGACTGTGGTGTGTTCACTCTCTGCTCTGACTGTGTAGTGTCCACTCTCTGCTCTGACTGTGGTGTGCTCACTCTCTGCTCTGACTGTGGTGTGTTCACTCTCTGCTCTGACTGTGTAGTGTCCACTCTCTGCTCTGACTGTGTAGTGTCCACTCTCTGCTCTGACTGTGTAGTGCTTACTCTGCTCTGACTGTGTAGTGCTTACTCTGCTCTGACTGTGGTGTGTTCACTCTCTACTCTGACTGTGGTGTGTTCACTCTCTGCTCTGACTGTGGTGTGTTCACTCTCTGCTCTGACTGTGGTGTGCTTACTCTGCTCTGACTGTGTAGTGTTCACTCTCTGCTCTGACTGTGGTGTGTTCACTCTCTGCTCTGACTGTGTAGTGTTCACTCTCTGCTCTGACTGTGTAGTGCTTACTCTGCTCTGACTGTGTAGTGCTTACTCTGCTCTGACTGTGTAGTGCTTACTCTGCTCTGACTGTGTAGTGTTCACTCTCTGCTCTGACTGTGGTGTGTTCACTCTCTGCTATGACTGTGTAGTGTGTTCACTCTGCTGTGACTGTAGTGTGTTCACTCTCTGCTCTGACTGTGGTGTGTTCACTCTCTGCTCTGACTGTGTAGTGTTCACTCTCTGCTCTGACTGTGTAGTGTTCACTCTCTGCTATGACTGTAGTGTGTTCACTCTCTGCTATGACTGTAGTGTGTTCACTCTCTGCTCTGACTGTAGTGTGTTCACTCTCTGCTATGACTGCAGTGTGTTCACTCTCTGCTCTGACTGTGTAGTGTTCACTCTCTGCTCTGACTGTGGTGTGTTCACTCTGTGTAGTGCTTACTCTGCTCTGACTGTGTAGTGCTTACTCTGCTCTGACTGTGTAGTGCTTACTCTGCTCTGACTGTGTAGTGTTCACTCTCTACTCTGACTGTGGTGTGTTCACTCTCTGCTCTGACTGTGTAGTGTCCACTCTCTGCTCTGACTGTGGTGTGCTCACTTTCTGCTTTGACTGTGGTGTGTTCACTCTCTGCTCTGACTGTGGTGTGTTCACTCTCTGCTCTGACTGTGGTGTGTTCACTCTCTGCTCTGACTGTGGTGTGTTCACTCTCTGCTCTGACTGTGGTGTGCTTACTCTGCTCTGACTGTGTAGTGCTTACTCTGCTCTGACTGTGTAGTGTTCACTCTCTACTCTGACTGTGGTGTGTTCACTCTCTGCTCTGACTGTGTAGTGTCCACTCTCTGCTCTGACTGTGGTGTGCTCACTCTCTGCTCTGACTGTGGTGTGTTCACTCTCTGCTCTGACTGTGTAGTGTCCACTCTCTGCTCTGACTGTGTAGTGTCCACTCTCTGCTCTGACTGTGGTGTGCTCACTTTCTGCTTTGACTGTGGTGTGTTCACTCTCTGCTCTGACTGTGGGGTGTTCACTCTCTGCTCTGACTGTGTAGTGTCCACTCTCTGCTCTGACTGTGTAGTGTCCACTCTCTGCTCTGACTGTGTAGTGTCCACTCTCTGCTCTGACTGTGTAGTGTCCACTCTCTGCTCTGACTGTGTAGTGTCCACTCTCTGCTCTGACTGTGTAGTGTCCACTCTCTGCTCTGACTGGTGTGCTCACTTTCTGCTCTGACTGTGGTGTGCTCACTCTCTGCTCTGACTGTGGTGTGTTCACTCTCTGCTCTGACTGTGTAGTGTCCACTCTCTGCTCTGACTGGTGTGTTCACTCTCTGCTCTGACTGTGTAGTGTGTTCACTTTCTGCTCTGACTGTGTAGTGTTCACTTT